TGATGACTGGTGAATGAAGGTGCTGATTATTTGAGATTAGTTGAGTCTTTTTTTTTTTAAAGATTTTATTTATTTATTTGAGAGAGAGAGAGAGGGAGGGAGAGCACAAGCAGAGGGAGTGGCAGGCAGAGGGAGAGAGAGAAGCAGGCTCCCCACCGAGCAAGGAGCCAGATGCGGGACTCCATCCCAGGACCCCGAGATCATGACTTGAGCTGAAGGCAGATGCTTAACCAACTGAGCCACCCAGGTGCCCTGAGATGAGTTGTGTCTTTACTTAGAATTCCCTTAAGCCATTTTCCTGGTTTTCTCTAAACAATTTTAGTATGCACAACAATTTCCTGGGACACCTGTTAACAATGCAAATGCCTGTGCAGGATCCCCAAAAGTTTTGATTCTACCTGTCTGAGGCCTAAGAATCTACATTCTAAACAAACACTCCCGCTGATTCTGGTGAATATTGTTCCTGGGTAGGTGATTTAAATCAGGATACTCGAGAGTAAAAGAGGATGCTATTAAATCACATTAGGACAAGATAAATAATCTGAGAATATCCTAATAGGTGTACTTGGACATATGATCATGGGGCATATTTTTTAAAAATAGAGGTTTAAAGTTTAATTGGAAAGTTCCTGCTATTTCCTTTCGTGACCAAACTTAGCTAGATTTCCTTTAGTCTTCTCAGGATGGTGGCTGTTTCCACTCTTTTATGAATCAACCTCAACTATAGTGTGTATACAACTTTCTAATAAAGGAAGATGGAATTCAGGGCTTCTAAACATAGCTAGGAGTAACTTGAGGGGAGTTAGGACCCACTCCTTTAAAGTTGAAGATTCTTTTCTTCTGATTTGAATGAAACTGATTTTATTTGCCCTTAGCTAAAAACTTAGGACTCTTCTGGAACTTTCTGTAATGCATGTTGTCTCAAGCCAATCTTAATTCCTTTTAGTGTTCCTGGCTCAGCTGTGTCCCATTTCTCTTAGCTGGGCATAATCCCCTTGATCCATTTCAACCTTGCTTTTGTTTTCATTTAACTAAGTGACTTGTTTATTATTTAAGTAAATTGCAACTGAAGAATTTGAGAGAAAGAAAAAATACCTTTCTAAATTCCTTTCTCAAGAGTTCTTTAGGTTGTTGTCACCTCTCCTTACATAACTTATATAGAAAAAATGGTTTTCCTGTTTTGTAAACTGTTACCTGATTACAACTCAGTATTGCAGGAAAATTATTATTTTTTTTAAAGATTTTATTTATTTATTTGACAGAGAGAGACACAGCGAGAGAGGGAACACAAGCAGAGGGGGTGGGAGAGGGAGAAGCAGGCTTCCCGAGGAGCAGGGAGCCCGATGTGGGGCTCCATCCCAGGACCCCGGGATCATGACCCGAGTCGAAGGCAGACGCTTAATGACTGAGCCACCCAGGCGCCCCAGGAAATTTATTTTTATTAGTAGTAATAATATTGCTGCTAGAAGTCAAATAATATCTGTGGATCTCTTGTCTCTGGTACTACCTCTATTATAATACCTTTTTTGTCAATTCCAACATATTTGATTTTATATTATTTCATTTTGTTTTTAGTTTGTTGGCCAATTTCTTTTATTTACAAAGTGGGGATTAAAAACAAGCAGGCTTTCTATGGGGTTCATTTCAAAATGGGGAAGGGCAGATTGGCTAGCCAGAAATTGAGAGTAAGAGTTTGAAAACCAAAAAGAGGTAAATTAAGTATGAAAAGGGGAATGATTAAATGTGGAACCATCCATTTCTTTATTTTTCTGGATCAAGATTTCAGAGGACTTGGGGTTCTCTGAACTCACATGCAAGTAGCTCTTGATTGAACCTCATGTAAATTTCTCTAAAGAAAATTTTTCTAAGACTTATACTCTTAGTTTTGGTAATTTTTCCACTTTTTAAAAAAAAGATTTTATTTATTTGAGAGAGAGAGAGCACTGAGCTAGGAGGAGAGGGAGAAGCAGGCTCCCTGCTGAGCAGGGAGTCCAATGTGGGGCTCGATCCCAGGACCCTGGGATCATGACCTGAGCCCAAGGCAGACGCCCAACTGCCTGAGCCACCCAGGTGCCCCAATTTTTACACTTTTTTAAAAAAATAAGTATTTCAAACATATTACAACAGTAGAGAGAATAGTATTAGGAGCTTTCAAGTGAACATCACTCAGCTTCAACAGTTAGTAACTCACTACTGTTCTTTTTTTCTTCTGTACCGCTGCTTATTCCCTGTCCCCCCATTATATCGAAGCAAATCCCAAATAGCATATAATTTCATCTGAACATATTTCAGTAAGACTCTCTAAACTATAAAGGACTTTTTTATTATTGTTAAAAGCCAACTATATTACCATTACGTTTTATGAAAATTGAAGTAAATTTGTTTAGGACTTACCTTTCACTCTGTTTTAGAGACTCACCAGATGAATAAATAAAAGATTCATCATAATATCTTTATTTTATTTTAGAAGTAGATTATTTGACTAAAATAATGTATTGATGTTCCATCTGAATAACAATTTATCCTTCAAATTGGAATACTTTTGAGAGTGAAAAGGGGCTCTATTAACAATTATGCTAGGAGAGCAGTGGAAATCTAGGACTGTCCTACATGAACTGGGATATATATGGTCCCCTGTTTCAAGGGAATATTTGCTGGTTGGATAGCTACTATAATTTTTCTCAACAAGCTTTGAATAACCCAGATGAGTTAAGTTGTAGCTAAGAGCATGGTGAACTTACCATAGGATTTTTAAGTCTAAAATTTTTATAGTGCCTGTAGATTTCAGGTTGGTCTCTCTCTCTTTTTTTTTTTGAGAGAGAGAGAGTAAGAGTGAGGGTGCAAGCATATGTGCACAAGCTGGGGGGTTAGGGAAGGGGAGACGGAGAGGGAAAGGGAGAGAGAGAATCCCAAGCAGGCTCCACACCCGACTCAGAGCCCAACATGGGGCTAGATCTCAGAACCCTGAGATCATGACCTGAGCCGAAATCAAGAGTTGGACGCTTAACCAACTGAGCTACCCAGGTGCCCCCTGCTTTTAAAGTTTATTTATTTATTTAAATAATCTCAACATGGGGCTTGAACTCACGACCCCAAGATCAAAAGTCGCTGGCTCCTCTGACTGAGACAGCCAGGAGCCCCTCACCATAAAGCTAGAAGTAGAACCACCAGGCATAAATCACAAATTAAAGGGCGCCTGGGTGGCTCAGTTGGTTAAGCGACTGCCTTCGGCTCAGGTCATGATCCTGGAGTCCCGGGATCGAGTCCCGCGTCGGGCTCCCTGCTCGACAGGGAGTCTGCTTCTCTCTCTGACCCTCCCCCCTCTCATGCTCTCTCTCTCATTCTCGCTCTCAAATAGATAAATAA